ATGGTCAAAGCCATCAGTATATTTGGAATACCGATGGCTTTTGGCCATCGGTAATTTAAAATAAAAATAAAATAATTAAAACCCCTATCCACACCTTTCCTATCCACCCCCTGCCTACCCCACACTCCCTACGGCCCTGCCTACCTAACCCAACACCGCCGCCGTAAGCCACTAAGCACCGCCAACCACCACCACAACCCTGTTCCACCTATCACCACCGCCGTAAACTACTCAACGCCACCAACCACGACTGATGAGTCTATTTTATATATATTTTTATTTCCCGTCTCACGGTCATATTTATGCTTATTTGAGTTCTACGGAGCTATTTTTAATACTAATATACGTTTTCTAGTGTTTTTCTAGAGTTGGTATTATTATGTAGGAATTTGCATATTTATGACGATTTCTGAGCTTATTGAGCCACTACAAAGACATTGGAGTCGAATCGTATTTTATGACTATATATTTTAAGCCCAAGGCCGAGTTAAAGAGATTAAGCATAAATAATATTACGGACTAAGGGCTCGATATGTGAAGAGGTCCAAGATTTTACAAGCTATTATTACGGACCAAGGAAGGAAATTGAGTCAAAGAAAGTAGCCCAAATAATATCTTTCTGTTGGGCATGATTTTACCGGGCCCATTCCAGATTGGGACGTGTTTTGGGCTGCTTGATGCTTCTATGGACTATTGTTGCTGATTTGGGTTTTGTTTGGTTGATTATCGGTTTAAGAGTAATAGTTTTATTTTGAGGAGGATTAGATGTTTGACTTTCTATCAAACTCTATCCTATTATTATACTACGTATAAAGCAGGGGGCATGAGAGTTTTAGTCACTTGGTTTTTGTTTTGTTTTTCTTAGGTTTAATATTTCTCCGTATTACTCTTTTCTTTACTTTAGTTTTATTTGATTATTTTTATTACGCTTATTTAATTGCTTTGTTAAGTTTAGATTTAATTATGTCTGAGTAGTTTAATTCTAGGGTATGTGGGGATCCATAAATAATATGAAAGGGTAATTTATTGTTGTTAATTGTCAATGCTAGATTAATTTCCTATTGATTGATTTAATGCTCTGTGACTAGATTTGCGCAGATCTATTATGCATGAGTTTAACAATATTGATTCGAGATTTGACAGATGAGAATTGATGTTTAGGTCTAGTTTCAATAGGCAGGTTAATTTATAAATGGTTAAGTCGAGATTCGAGAGATGAGATTTAATACCGGTAGATTAATTGTGTGATTGTAATACGTAGCGAAAGCCCTTTATGATCTGATTAATGTATGCATTGATGATTGTTTATTATGTTTTACCCTGGAATATTATTTATTGGCGAACCTATACCCTAAGCCTTTTATTCATTGTTTTCTCCTTATTCTTAATCTTCGTAGTTTAGGTTCCTTTGATTACAATATATTGGTTACTTTATAATCTAGATTATATTAATTAATTAGGAATAGAAAGACTCGTTTCCCTGTGGATTCGACCCTACTTCCCTATCTACATTAGTTAGAGGATTTAGGAATTACTTTTGATTAGGGGATACGACTTTACCCTGTCAACCACCCGAAACACCCTAAAAATCAATAAAAAATCAACACAAAACAACCCACAAAAATCAAGCTGAAATAAACCACAAAAATTAACAAAAAATCAAACATTGATGAAAATTAAAGTTAAAAAACAATAAACACACGAAATTCAACAAACATACACCACGAAAATGGTATAAATCAAACCCACAAAAATCACACAAATAAATCCACCAAAGAAATTAACTTACAAAATTAAACATAAAATTCACATACCTTTTAAATTTCTTCTTTTTTGGGTTTGAATGGTTAAACTCGACCATGAAAATTCCAGATCTGGAAATTTTCATGGTCGAGTTTGACCAAAAAAAACCGTAATCTTTGCATAAACCTCGTGATGGTGATGGTGGTAACCCCAAAAAATTGTGACGTTTGTGTAGAGAAGGGATGAGGAAAGTCATAGAAGAGAAGGAGAAGAGGAAAAGGTGAAGATAGAAGAGAGAAGAAAGAATGAGAGGATAGAGGACATAGAAGAAGAGAGGTGTGAATGAAGGAGGAAGAAAGAGAAAGTGAAAGGGGGACGCTCTGTTTAATCAAGGGTTTCCTCCTTTTTTTTTAATATTTTAAGAAAATACCGATGGCTAAAAGCCATCGGTAAAATACCAATAGTATAAAGCCATCGGTATTTTTATTTTACCGATGGCTTTTAACCATCGGTAAAAAAAATTATTTTTCTTTTAAAAAATAAGATTTTACCGATGGATGAAAACCATTGGAAATAATATACCGATGGTAAGGCCATCAGTATTTTAAAAAATACCGATGGCTTATAAAACCATCGGTAAATTATATTTTTACAGATGGATTTTAGTGGCCATCGGTATTTCCCATCGGTAAACGCGCGTATTCTTGTAGTGATGGCTATTGGCAAGCCCCCTAAGCCCATGCGGTTCAGAACCGCTTGCCATTAGGTGGTTTGAACCACTTGCCATTACGTTTTTTCTACTCGTTGTAGACATGTGGTGTATATGGTTGAATTTTTTCATATAACTAGGGTGCCTTTGCGCACCATATCTAGCTAAGGGAAACTCTTTCAGTTTGGCCTTACGTCACAATTTAGTTGCTACTAGCATTAATGAGGAAAAATATGTAAATAAATATTTTTAGGTGTATAAATATCCGCATTCTATTTTTAAGAGTTTAAAAACGTATTAATTAACATTAATGGGAGCAATTAAGTAATTAAACATTTTAGAGGGTATAATTGTCCAAACACCTTTCATGAGAGTTACGGAGTATCTCATACTTTTTAAAAGGTAGGGATATATATACATAGATGTGCACATTCCTTTTCAAATCACTTTCTCAAATAGGATAACAAAAAAATGTAGTGGAAGTAAAAAACACAAGAAAAATATAATTTCTTAAAATTTAACCTTGCATCAAATAAATTGTATTCTTTGCCTTAAAATAATTGATAAAGTCAAAAAAAAAAAAATCAAAGAGAATAAATTCAAACTTAACACACGTGTGAATACAGTAATTTGATCTTAGATAAATATAATTAAATATTAATTTAAATATTAAAAAGTTAATGTTATAAAATTTTATAACAATACGTATTTAAAAATATCTTGCATAATTAAATATATTTTTAATACTTACTATACCCAAAGTTAATACCAATACTTCGTTTATGATTAGTAAAATGAAGGGTTAACGTGTCAGTTATCACAGGATTAAAGTTATGTTCATTTCACCTTATTTTTGCTTAACTGAAATTACTTTTACTGAACTGAAATTATATTTGTTGAACTGAAACTAATTTTTGCTAATAAACAGAAATTATTTTTATTGATTCTCTATTATATTTCTAGTAACAAAGTTACTAATTTTTAATGAATTGAAATTATTTATACAAAACTGAATGTTTTATATTTATATTTTTATATTTTTCAATTTAAGTTGAACTGAACATGGTCTACGAAGGAGTAGACTTATACCTCGTTTTTTTAAAGCTACTCTGCTTCAATCTTCTTTGCTGTTCTGCTTCAATCTGCTCTGCTCTGCTTAAAAATAATACTTAATATTGAATTACTATAATAATAATTAATTAATTTTAAAAAATAATTTTAATTAATAGTTAATAATAATAATAATAAATAATTAATATTAATAATAACAATATTATTAAAAATTAATATTTAATAATAATAATAATAATAAATAATATTTAATAATAATAATATTATTAAAAATTAATATTTAATAATAATATTTAATAATTAATATTTAATAATAATAATATAAATAATAATTATTATTATAATATTATTAATAATAATAATTAATATTTAATAATAATAATAATAATAGTAATTATAATAATGATAATAACAATAATAATACTTATAATTAATAATATTATTAATTATAATAATAGTAATAATAATAGTAACTATAATAATGATGATAATAGTAATAAATAATACTTATAATTTATTTTTTATCATAAAAATTAATATTTAAAGATAATAAATAATATTTAAATATAATAATAATTAATAATAATAATATTTATTAATTTTGAATAATAATACAAATAAATATAATAATTAAATAATATTTAATAATACTAATAATAATTATATTTAATATAATAATAATAATAATAATAATAATCTAATATATATATATATATAAAGTGGAGTTTTTCCCCGAGTTTTTAGAGAGCCACGTACAATTTAATTTCCTTAGCGCGCCATGTAGGATTATAAATTTAAGTGGTAGCCAACTAAATAAGATGTTATTAATTTCTTTTACAATTAAATAATTCAAATGCCACGTAAGAAAAATTGACGAATGGGATTTTAAAGTTTAAATTAGGGCTTGTTCATATTTACTTATTTTCAGTTCAGTTCAGTTCAGCTCCAATCAGTTCAGTTCAATTCAGTTCAGCTCCAATCAGTTCAGTTTAGTTCAGTTCAGTTCAACTCTTAATTTCCTTCTCTCATAAAATATTCATTTCAGCTTAGTTTAGTTCAGTTCAGTTCCAATCAGTTCAGTTCAGTTCAGCTCCAATCAGTTCAGTTTAGTTTAGTTCAGTTCAGTTCAGCTCAGTTCAGTAAATATGAACAGACCCTTAATTAAATACAAAATATTATCTTTTGAGATTAGGAATTTTATTTAATATTTTAAAACTAATATAATAACAATTTTAATCACATAAATAATAATAATAATAATAATAATAATAATAATAATAATAATATTTATCTAATATTTTAAAACCATGAGTCGTACAGACTTCATCTAGTAATAATAATAATAATAGTAATAATAATAATACGTAGTAATAATAATAATAATAAAAAAAATCTGTTCTACTCTGCTGAAATTTGTTCTGCTCTGCCCAGAAACTCAAAAGAATATAAACTTATACATACATGAGCAAATAATGTAGGAGATGGTGACAAGTACACTACCTTTTTGTTTGGTCTTCCCATGTGATCTTCTCTTGGAGGATGTGAGAACTCTACTCTGGCTCTACACTCACACCATTTGCATTTGCATTTTCATTTGCTTCACCCAATTTGCTTTCCTCCTTAATTTTTCCTCGAACCAAATTTCACATATTTCTCCACTTATTAATTATATTCCCCTTCCTTTTTTAATTTCATATACTTCCATATTTCTTTCCATTTTTACATCTATCCATTTCTCTCTTTCTCTCTCCACCATTAAATCTCCATCCTCAAATCTTCAATATTTGGAAGTTGCACCCAATAAAAAATTCTGCCCATTTACAAATTAGGCAAAAATATTTTGTGGGTATTTATTACCAAAAATAATGTGATGAAGATGAAGAAAAAAATACTCTCAGTAAGATCTCTATTTAACTCTATTTTACCTTCATTTTTGAGTTATTAGTTTAATCAAATGAGATTTAATATTATGAACAAATGTCGATGAAGTCATTAACCAGGATTGGAATTGGTTTAAGTATTGTATTTACATGTTTATTGTTAGCATTAGTTGCTGAAATTTACTACTTATTATGGTGGAAAAGGAGGATTATTATGAATAACAGAGAGATTAAGGAGAATAACAGAAGCAATAACCCGAAACAAAGTGGGTTTTGCTTCAGATTTTGCTGGAATAAATCTTACAAATCGTCAATCGATTCGACAAGAGTAGCCGATGCCCAATTTCAACAAGAAATTAACAAGCAAGATTACTTGGTAAAACCATTGGAAGGTGAAAATGGTGTTTTAGAAGCTGAATTGATGATTATGGGTCCACCAAGATTTTTGTTTACTATAAATGAAGAAACAAAGGAAGATTTATTGGAATCTGAAGATCGAAAATCAAAGAGTTTGAATGATTTTCTTACTACTAATAGTAATGCAACAATTTCTCCATATCTAACACCAATTCCGTCCCCTCCATTTTTGACACCGGTTTCGAATCATAAAAGTCAAAGTAATGGTGGTTATCATCCAATGTATGAAGCATCAAGTGATGCTGAGTTTAACAGGATGGTGAAGCTTTCGCCGCCCCCGAAATTCAAGTTTTTAAGGGATGCTGAGGAGAAATTGCAAAGGAAACTCATGTTCATAGAAGAAGCAAAGTTGGAGAGGGATTTGCACAAAGTTAGGGAGGATGAAAATGGGTCTTTTATTTCAATTGTTGTTGATGACAATAATAAAGGGAAGGAGGATAATAAAGATGATAAACTAAATCATCATTATTATCATTTTTCAAATTCTCAATCAGGTGATTCTTCTTCTACTTCTACTAGTTGTTGTTCTTCTTCTACATTAGCTTCGTCATCTAACAAAAAATTCAAGAGTTTTTTGATAATGTAATAATGTATGATGAATTATGTTTAATTTTAATTTTTTTTTTTTCATTTTTTTCATTTTTTTTAATTTTTATTTTGTTTTACTTGTGAAATTTTATGAGTAAATGTTCATGGGTATAATTTTGGAAATTTTCTTAAATTCCAATGGTGGCATTGTGGGGATGTTGATTTTGATTATAAATTGCATTACTCACTTTATTTTTATTATTATGATCCTTTTTCCATCCCCTTTTTCATAATACTTTGGTGCAATGGTTAATTATGTACGAAGTATATAATTATATAATTATACGGTTATGATATATACAGTCCTAAGAATCGCATTTATCATGTTCTGTAATTGTATTATAAGCTTCTTTTATTTGTTATGAGTTTATGACAGGTCCTCAAGACTCTTGAATCTTGATTATGGCTTTGTTAGTCAATGAGTTTAATTAGCTAATTCACGTTCACTCATTTAATTGCATTGACTATTTGGAATTAATTGTTTGAGTCACCAAAGTATCAATTTTTAGTAAAATCAGGCACGTAACAACATTTGTTATGTGACTTACGTTTTTAGTTAGTCCTTTAAAAGCAAACAATCATTCTTAAAGAAACACTCCTCAAAGTAACTTTTTTTATTTTGACAGAAAGTCATAAACAATTAAACACCATCTCTTCAAATGACTAAATCTTTTTTGCTATAAAACATACGCATATATTTTGGTTCTTTGATCATATGAAGATAACAAATATCATAGAAAAACCCCGTCAAACAGCCAGTTATCAAACAAAGCCAATAATACGACTCCATGAAGCATAGTAGCAAATAATGCTAAATGTGTGAGTTAAATTCACACCAAAAATTAACAACATTCTCTGCAACAATATATAGCAATCGGTAGTTCATTTATTACTTGTTGGAAACTTATGAAGCTCAATCATACAACTATTATTTTATATAATAATCTCTAAAACTCCCAAACCCAAGGTGTCACTTACCCCATAATCATTCATGTGAGTTTTTGCAACAATATAGTACTCCGTAGTACATTGATCTTTGCTGTCAGATTAAAAAGTTGATTGTAATTCTTTTTAGGCCAAAACTTTTGGTTCCCTTTTTAATTATTTTTTCCTTACTTGGTTGTATTTGTTTAATAATAATAATGACTAGATTAATAGTAATAATAGTTAGAAGTTTGGCACTAGGCTAGTTGGCTAGCCAGAGAATCAGAGATCATGTTCTTATTATTGCATCTTATATTAATATTAATATGTAAATAATTCATCATATGAAATTATTGCAAATTGAAGTCCTTGATTGTTACATATTTGTCCATGCATGGAGGCGAACTCGATGACTTACTTGAATTTACACAATTTTTTTTTGAAAGGTACTACTCTTTAATGATTTATGGTCATTGTTTTAGCAAGTGTTCAAATGTTGTTGATGGGTTTTCATAGATTGGTATGATGGAAAAGTTACACATGAATCCAACGATAATAAGTTACACTTGGTTCGGATGGAAAACGATGTCTAGTAAGTCTATAAAAAGTCATTCAGTTTGATTTGGGTCATATTCGATTCTATATATATTACCAATCAAATTTGATTAGAACTAATCATATATTAGGCTCAGGCCAAAAGGGACTAAAAATGGCCTTTTTTTCCCGCCTATTTAGAGATTACTGTTTCTAACCAAACTTGGTAATTGAGCTTGAGCCAAAAATTGTCTAAAAATTGTATTTTTGGCTTGAAAAACATGCCCAAAGCTCAAATATATTCAACACTCGAGCTGGGTTCAAAAATATGCTCGAATTCGTTTAGATCGGGTAGGATTAAATGTGTTCTATTGTTAAATCAATTCTCTCTATTAATATGTTCAAGCTCGGTCGGGTTAGAATGGATCACAAACTTTGAGTCCAATCCGGATTTGTTCAAATGGTATGATTCAAATACTATTGCTATATCCATTTCTTTTTATTTGTAACAAAAGAATATTTTATGTCTCACAAGTAATGCTTATTTGTTGTAAATAATTCGAAATGGAGTTGGTATTTTATTGACTGCAAGTTTACAACTGAGTCCTACCAAGATTGAACTGAAATCCACCATGATTGAGCTGCACTTTTTTACATATGAAGGTTTGGTAAGTGGGAAGTCTAGCATGATTTTCATGAATCAACCAAACATATTGCGTCTCGGAGATGGTGAGTGCAACTGTGCTCTCAACCAATTCTTGAAATTTATACCAGATGTAACTTAAACAAACTCCAAATGCTTTGATTCACTAAAATTACAAGATTATACTTTCTTGGACTAACCAAATTTGATGCTTGTATAAAAGTCTGCTGCCATCCCCACCAACATCATGAATCTTATCTGCTCTCTATTCTATTTTATATGCCAACTCTCGATACGTTTTGTGTTTACTTGAAATACAATAAAATTTCCATATTTTCTCGGAAATTTTATGTAGAACTACTTTAAAGATAAGGTCATTTGTGAACAACTATTCAATTTTTTTTATTTGTTTAGAACTATCTGTAAGTTTGGAAACGTTTGGGTAACACTACGCACTAACGTTTTCCGCCCAATTAAAATGTTATTTTGGCTATATTTTTCCACTTTTATCAATTACAATGGCCAATTCATGCTAAATTAAGCAAAAATTCCAATTCAATTATACCCCCAAACCTTAGAATTCAACATCCCCAAATAACATTAAACTCATGAACCCTAAAATGAATTCTAATTAAAACCCTAATTAAGTTAATTAAGGTAAATTAAAACCTTTATACAAACTGAGAGAATTAATTGGGTGGAAAAAGTAAAAAAGTGGGCTCTGATAACGTCTTAATTGGACGGAAAACGTTAATGGGTAGTGATACCTAAATGTTTTCAAACTTGTGGGTAGTTCTAAACAAATAAAAAAAAATGGGTAGTTGTTCACAAATGACCCTATCTTTAGGGTAGTTTTACACAAAATTTCCTATTTTCTCTGCACTCATTTAAAATGTAGTTGTTAACTAAGGTCTTGTTCATCACTTCACCTTTTAAAAAATAATATTTAGTAAAAATAATTTCATTTCAACAAAAATAATTTCACTTCAACAAAAATAAGTTTATTAAGTAAAAATAAGCTCAGTTCACTAAAAATCAATAACTATAATGAAAAAATATAACAGCGAAAACTAAAAATAATTTCAGTTCAACAAAAATAATTTCACTTCAGTAAAAATAATTTCAATTTAGCAAAAATAAGATGAAATGAACTGGGCTTAAGTAAGCTTGGCAAAAATAGTGGAGAACTCACCTAAGGCTAGTTGACCATAAGAGGTGATAGTTCAGTAGGATCCTCATTGCGAATATTTGAAGCATGGATCATGTATGCATATGTAGTAGATAAGATTGTAATAAAATTATATTATTTTTCGAACTCTAATTGAGATCTTCCTAATCTTTAAATAAATCAAAGTGAGTATAAAACCAATATAATTGGATTCAAGATTTATACAGGAATACTGATTTGTAGCCATTTTTTTAGTTTTTATTTTTACTTATGCGAAGTATTATATTCCGTATACACTAATAGCTTAAATACGGTTATACCCTTGAACCTCTACTTACTATGCAAGCAACCATAATATACGATAAATTCTGCAACTCTACTGCCGTACAATATCAGTATATACCTTTTATAGATGAACATTTTCATGGAGTATGTGTGAAATTCTGTGTGCATGAAAGAGGACCACAGTACAGTTATCTTGTGGGAGCTAGCTTTCAATTATGTTTAGGTGATTGCGATCAATAAGATACGGAGTAGAAGGATAAGGCAATTTTCTATGTACAATAATTGTACCTTGTGACTTGTGAGCAGTGGCGGACCCAGGAATTTCCGACTGATGAGTCACAATCGATAACCAAATATGTAAAAAAAAAAAATTTGACAACATGACAAGCTTAGCTCTCTAATAATTGACAAGATTAAAATTTGTACAAGCACTAGGGTGTATTCACAATTTGACAGACATAATTGACTATATCATTAGGGTGGGTCGACTATATCATAAGCAATCGTCCGAATCGCCAATCAAATCAGCACATATGCAAAACCCCATATAAATCTACCAAAGTCAATGGTGTATTGACAATTTGACAGACATAATTAACATCAATAAACACCCTAAATAAACACTGATTACAATTCACATGGTCAAAAAGGTTCAAATTTCATCAAAAACCCAACAACATTAACAAAAAGTTCAAAGTTTACCAAACAAACAACAACAAAATCAACCAAAGAAAATAATTTTTTTTTTTTTTTAAAAAAAAAACTTAGAAATTTTTTTTGGGCCCTGGTGAGTCATTTGACTCACCATGCACAAGGGCAGGTCCGCCAATGCTTCTGAGCATATGAACAAATAATAATAATAATAATAATAATAATAATAATAATAATAATAATTTCGCACTTTGTAAGAGTGTTGTATAACCTATAACTGATTGTACAGTGAAAATGTTAAGGGATAAAAGTAGATTGTCACATTTCTTAAACAAAATTAAGTTAATTTTCTAACCTTTGGTCATGAGGAGATTAGACGATATTAAAAGAAATTTTTGACATAGCAATTAATCACTAAATGCTACAAATTACCTATCTTTAACATACTATAATCAACATACGTGAGTATACTCTAATCAACATATGTGAGTATATATTAAACATCTGACTCTTTAGAAAATAAACGATCCTCTATTAAAGGTAATTGTAGACAATATTTATTTTCAGTAGACAAATCATTAATCTGTCTTTTGTGTAGCTTGGTAACAATATTTTTGGTTCGGGTAAAAAATATCTTTGCCCTGTTGAAAACGATTGTGTACTAAGGCCGACGAGTTGGTCCTATATAGCCAAAAGGCCCAAAAGCCATGAAGTGTCACAACATACAAGTTTTGCCAAGCTTAAGTAAATTTGTGGTAGTTATGATGAAATCTTGATAAATTCCACTAGAAATCACAATACATTTCAAGTGATACTCAACTATCAAGTTTGGCATAGTTTAAAGACTTTGCATTTGTCAGTTTGTAGAAAGTTAATTAGCAAAATGAAAGTAAAAATTGGTTGAAAAGAAGAAGAATCAAGGTGACTTTTCAAGTGTCTTTTCGGTTCATTTTGATAAGCAAACAATATGTACTGGAATATCCCGTGAAGTCCTGTCGTTTATACTATGGGCCGAAAAGCTGACAAACAAGAATCATTTCGGGAAATACATATACCATAATGATTCCAATAAATCCCCAAGCAAAGCGTACATACAACGCAGTGTTCAACAACATACTAACTTACCTACTTAATCTAACAATGTAAGATACATTTAAATGTACTTAACTCAACAATGTAGTTCGTAATTCCCTAAATGCTTCATATATGTAGTTCAACAACTAAATGCTTCATATAAATTATACGAAATTATACAACATACATATAACTATACTTAATTTCAATAATTAAACAACAATGTATTATGTAGTTATACATATTTCGCATACTTGAACAACACTATAGTACATACATTGTAAATTACAAACATAAATTCCCAAAAAACATCATACACAAGTAAAATAGTTAAATTCAAGACATACCTCAATTTCGATGAAAGTAGGGCGTAACAGTGTTGAACAAAGAAGGAGGATTAATTTTTATTGACTATGATGCAAAACTAAGCTACGGAATGTGATGAAATTGCTTCAAATATGGAGAATTGGAAGTTGGTATGCGCGGGGTTAGGGTTTGCAATTTGGGGGTTTGGTTGAATAATGAAGAGCAGCGATATATGCTGTTAGAAATACCCGACTCTAAAACGCCAACGACGTTAGCGCTTTTGTGTTAAAAGTAAAACGCCAACGGCGTTAGCGTTTTTGTGTAAAAGTTTTTTTTAAAAAAATTTGCCCAGCAGCTTGATGGCGTTTTACCTTTGACTAAAAATTAAAAAAAAAAATTGCCCGGTAAAACGCCACCCTGGTTGACGTTTTACCCTGAAAGCTTAGTTTGGTAAATAGTTTTGTCACGCGTCTTGTTTGGGAAATTGTTTTCCAAAAACGCTCATTTTGGCAATTTTTTCAATCATTTATGTGTTGAAAATTATGGGAGTTAATTATTTGTTTGTTGTGGGTGGATCTAATTAAGAGTTCCATTCTAGTTTGTAATACCATTATTGTAATCTCCTGGTTGGTTTTTTTTTTTATAAACCTTTGAAGTTAAATGTGACATTTTTTTAAAGCTAAAATGCTGTAATTTTTACCTTTAAAATTAAATTAAATGTGACATTTTTTTGGTTCGATTAACCCAAATCGTTTAAATCCGACTTTGGTTTAATCCTTTTAAACCTTCTTATATCTAGTCTCTTTTCAAATCAATTCGATTATGTTGAATAATTTTGAGAATTTAGACAAAATTCATGTTAATTAATTAATTTACTTAGGCTAAGGTGCTGTGAATTAATTAATAAAGATTATTAAAAGCAAATAATGTTTTGAAGAAAGTACAAAGAAGCAACGAGAAACATGATTCTCGGTTTAGAGAAGCTCTGTATTTGTCTTTCATTAGTATTCGTATTTGTGACGGTTGGTTTCATCGAAGTTGAACAGTTTTCTTCATGGAGGTTGGTTATTTTGCATTTAATATAAATATGTTTTAGAGCATATGTTGTCAGATACTTTTCAAGAAGAAAAGTTGTTTTCTTTATTTTTTTTTTTTTAGAAAATCAATTGCAATATTTATTTATCATCATAAATCCAAAGGCTTATTTTACATTGTTATGTAATCATCCTACTTGTGATTGCAATTGTTTCTTCGTTGTATATCCTAAGTGAATTTCCGTGAAAACCCGGTTGTAGTATAGTGTCAGAATTATAATTTTGGGAAAGTGATTATGTTCACGCCTCAAAGATTTTCCGTTCTAATTGTTTGCTATTTATTTATGACTTGATCCAAAATGAAATCATGTGAAAAATTATCAAACCAAGTGACCCACTATTTTGAATCAACCTAAACCAACTTTCCATACAAATGAATGTCTCAATCCAAATCAAAACTAAACAATCAATCCAACTTGATACAGGTTTCGAAACGGAACCAAAACCTGACAAGAGATTATTTTGTCAAAATATAAAAAAATCATATTCAAAAGTTTCATATGATCATAATTACTCATTATTGTTCCTCAAAAAAAAAATACTCATTATTGAACCAAAATGTCTAATAGTAAAATTCCTAATAAAGATCCAATAATGTTACGATCCACGACTCATTAGGGAAGTAGCAATATTGTAGCGAATAAACTCCATACTAAAATCAACCGTCAATCCATCATGTTCTTCTAAAGTAGTTACTGAGTTGTCTTTCGTCTAATTTTCTCATCCCCTTCAAATTCAAAAATGTAATAAGAATCCGGATCACATTTATCAAATTCCAAATCTTTAATTAAGTGCATGTCTCTTATATAGTTATACATAGCCATAGTAGCCGCAACAAGTTTCTTTTATGTTTCCAATACATGATTGATAATATTTTCCATATACCAGATGTTCTCTCTATAACGTTTCTCGATGACGAATGTGAAAAATTATAGAGCTCAGTAATGTTTATGAGAGAGAAGAGAGATTTTTTTTTTTTTTTTAAATGGGGTGTTAGAAGTCTTTTGGTAAAAAAAAAAAAAGGTATGAAGAACTCTCCTAGAAAATTAGAAATAGCCCTTGAGAACCTCCAAATTGGTGCTTCTCATGTTAGTATATTACCCTTCATAGAAGCTATTTTGGGCTTCTTAAAAAAGTGGTTTTGCTCTTAAAATTCCCTTTATGATCCAGTTTCTATTTCTTAGATTGATAAACAGTTTGAAAAACTAGGCCAAACAACTCCTTAGACAACACTTGCAAGCTGCTGGGTGGCCTAGGAGCATAGTAAGTAACAACAGTTTAAGTTCTCTTGGATACATTTTAGAAAGGCGTGTTCTCAATTCTCATTACATGGTACTTACTGAGTTCTTTACGTCATCAGCATACCACCCTAAAATAGATGGCCAAACTGAGGCTATCAATAGATGTTTGATGCATGTGTTGCGATATTCCTAAGGATTGATGTTCGTGGCTTCCTACTGAAAAACGGTGGCATACTCATTTTCACACGGCGGTACAGATGACTTTTTATGAGGTTGTTCATAATCAACCCCTACTTTGTATTTACCAACCTTTGGAATTTTGCTGTGGATGTGGTTGATAGAAGTATGTTGTAGAGAGAAGCTACGATAGCTGCCTGGAAGTTCCATTTGACCGGGACGCAGTCAAGGATGAAACCACAGGTTAATAAATATAGATCAGAGGAATCTGAGTCTTAAAGAAAGAAGCACAAATTTGTTCAGTCTCACTATCATCGGTCAAAAAACATACTCTGTAAAATAAATGATGATCATATCAAATATCTGTAGGTAAAAAGAATTGCCATGTATTTCATTGTAAAAAACTCAGCTTTCTATCAATCAACATTGAAATGTCTGTACTCTCAAGGCTGGAACAATCAAACCAACATTGAACAAAGGTACCAGAGAAGAAGGGACAAAAAAAAGGAAAAGAAATAGAGAGGAGAATTTACATATTGTTCAAGAGCAAAGCACTGCCAGTGGCATATTTTTTCTTCTCTAAATATCACGACCTACATATTTTATCCAACTTATACAGTTTTCGGGGTTGAAGAAACTTTGGCTGAAACCTATAGAAAAAAGTTCGAGTCACTTCTCCAATCAGTAGTATGTCTAACCAGCCTTGAAGTTGCATGCTTCTTGTTCTCTGTTGTAGTGTACAACGAATGATATGATACAATCTGTGCCTCAAGTAGATCAAATTTCAATGAATGAAATCTTAATTCAAGATCCAAATGCAGCTCTCTTCGTTATGCCAAGTTCAACACAGAGAGAGTTCAGCGTAGGTTCATCCAACAGACTATATGCAGAGAACCCGTAATATGAGTGATAAAGCTCCGGCAATTCCCCTGGGAATTTACTGAAACCGCCATACTACAGAAAAACAAAATTATCATTTCCACCGGAAAGAGAGATTCATCATATACTATATGAAAGAAATAATCATGATTATTAAGAAAGAATTTGCCACCATTATCAAGAAGATTCTCGATATGCAGAACCATCAGCTTCTGGTTTTTACAGAAAAGCATGTAACTATCTAATGAATAAGCATAAATATGAGGCACACTACCAGAGAAGCTTTGACAAACTTATGACAAACATGGCCATTTCAAGTGTAATTTGAATTATTTGGACATAAAAGGGGGGGGGGGGGGTTAGAAGGGGATTTAGTTACAGGCCCTTGGTTAGAGAATCACTTACCACAGATTGACAAGTCAGTAGCGAATCACGCAAAGCATCCTTGTTAACAAATTTGCTGCCTCCCAAGATCTTCAACACTCCACCCACCCTGTATGCGAAATTTTTTTATCTTCAGGATGACAAAACAAGCATGTGACTAGGTTTACCAAATAACTACAGCATAGTCTACCCCAAATTACCAGAACGCATAGCATGTGTCACTGGGTTTGTTTAGTCTTCCCTGATATCCAGCATCTGCAGCTTGTCTCTGAAGCAAGAAAATTGCATGAAAATTGTCATAATACCACATGAAATTAAATCATCAATCTATAAACTAATGTTTACAAAGATATATGTTCAACTCTTAGGGTTAAATATAGATTCCACTATTTCTAGTCACCACAAGGACTTTCACTAACAACAAAATAGGATAGGAAATTTAACAGCATGAGTGGAAGAGCAAAATTACCTTGATTAAAAATAAAAATAAAACAAATGGTATGATGGTCCACTCTGCATTATTTAAAGATTGAGGAAATACTTTTTATTAGATTAAATAATACTCTCAATCCACAGATTAAATTGGAACAAGTTACACTATAATAATGACAATTATTTCTGGAACTCCATATAATTTAGGCATTAAGACAAATGCCAGACACTACTTGATCTTGATAAGAATTGTGGCTTCACAGACACTCAAAACAATACATTTCCGAATTCCGAGTAAGAATCCAGAATCCAATTCAACATCATTTAGTATCATTAATTTTATTTATTTATTTTTTTTATGCTCTGGCCCCCTGAACAAAGCACACGTGATGTTTTCTGTAATTGGAAAAAAAGTAATGTTTGACAAGTTTAATTTGATCAACAAAAATAAGGTAACATTATTGTTTTATAGGATATCCAAGAATTTTAGTGGTATAAGTTACGGTTTTACTGTTTCAATTCCTCAGCATAAGTACATCAATTTGATTATAAGAGTGCTTCTAACAACTTCTACACTGTTTAATTATGATTTATCATTAAAAAATATAAGTTGAACAAAATATTGTTATAAAGGTTAAAAATAAAACAAGGAAAATTTGTCAAAAACCACCTTTTAAAAGATAGATTTTGTTCGAAACCACATTATAATTATTTTTTTTTACCTTAATCACACTTCTTTCGTTTTTCATTAGATGCATCATTTTTAAAATTGCAGACTCCTAGGCAAGATTTGGAGTAGAGAGAGATAGAGAGAAAAAATAAAGAGATCCCATATGATATGGGAAAGGTAGAATTTATTGACTAAAAGGGACAATCATGCAGAAACTTCCATATATAGAAAGTAATGTATCTAATAAAAAACGGAGGAATTATTTGTTTTTGCCAAAGACCACCTTTAGCTAGTTTCCGACTGTTGACCTTTAACTCTCATTCTCTCTCATGCCATGGCTACCTCACCACTTCCTCTTCCCTCTCCACCATCTTGACTTCCCCTTTCCCCCTCCTCCTCCTCCTCAGCCACCTCCCCTCCCCCCCCCTCTCTCCTTCCCTTTTATCTTTATCTCTCTTAGATTTAATTTTTCTAAAACCACCCACTAAAAACACTTTTTTGTGAAAAACCACCCACAATAAATTTTTTTGTAAAAAACCACCCAAACTAAAAAAAAATGTTGCAAAAAGCCACCAACGGCCAAAAAAGGTTGTTGACCATATTTGCCGATGTTGACCGCCCTCCCTTGGCGTTGACCACCCGCCCTATCCCCTTAAAAACCCTTAGAATTCACCGGAAAACATCTAGCCGTTATTCCTCCTCCCCACCCCCCTCGAAAACCCCTAAAACTCACTCGAAAATAATGAAAAACCCTATACCACCACCGGAAAATATGGTCGGAGTGATTTTCGAGGTGGAGGGGGAGTGAATACTAGGAGTTTCCAATGGGGAGTGAATGTTAGGGGTTTCGAGGGGGAGGGGCAGCTAGACTTTCCTGTGAATTCTAGGGGTTTTCTAGTGTGGTCAACGTCGGGGGAGGATGGTCAACGACCTGTTTTTGGCAGTGGGTGGCTTTTTACAACATTTTTTTAGTTTGGGTGGTGTTTTACAACTTTTTTTTTTTGTGGGTGGTTTTTCACAAAAAAGTGGTTTTAATGGGTGATTTTTGACAAAATTTCCTTTTTTTAATGATTAGGGTTGCTTTAAGTCTAGGTTGTGTGATTATCCAAGTTTTTCAAGTTGTTTTGACATTGTATGGGCTCGTTTTGAAAATTCGAAGAAGATGTGATGGGTTTGGGATGTTAAGGTTTCTTCTTGAGTTGATTTTTGGGCGTAGGTAGGTGGTTTTGGAGGTGATTGGGTGGTTTTGAGGGGTGAGTTTTGGCGTGGTTCAGTGGGGAGGCAATGGTGGTGATGTGTGTGTTTGTAGCAATCACATGGGTGGTTAATGCCCAAAAAGGATAGTCAATGCCGGAATTCGTCAAGTTTAGAAATAGGTAGCTTCTTACAAAACAAAAAATTAAAAGGTGGTTTTTGACAAAACTTCATTTTAAAAGGTAGTTTTTGACAAAACTTCATTTTAAAAGGTAGTTTTTGACAAATCTTCCTAAAAACAACAAAAATAATGACTTCGACAATGCAAACGCTATCTATATATTGTTGAAAAGCAAACCTGCATCATCCAATCGAGGAGCACGGGAATGTCTATGATTGAGGATGATACACCCTTGGAGATAAGATCATCTTCCATAAAGCCCATCAGTCGTAGAGATGCAATTGCGCAGTATGTTGCACCGCCTGTATCACTAGTGCATAGGTATACATTATATTGACAAGGAAACTAAATGGCAGGAATAAAAGGGCAAGGTAACTCGAACCAGAAATTATGTGCCTCAAGAAATTGACAATTTGCTAACACTTACATAAACAAAAAAAAATGGAGCATTTAAAAATACATGTATAAAGCTGGTTTAAAAGTCAAGCTTTATCTACTCACCATGGGATTCCAGACCAGGACACAAACCAAAGCCACCATCATATGACTGCAAAAACAGGATCATACAACTCAATTCAGCATCAGGATAACAAGTTTGGAAGAACAAGGCATGCCAATAACTGCAAAATAGCAAAAGGTTTTAAAATAGACCTGACAGTTCAAAATATATTCCTTTGCCATCTCTTTGTCCATTCCAGTCCAGTCACCCAGCAGATAGGAAATGGCAGCTGATTGTCACAAAGAAAACCAAATGGAAAGTAAGGGTATAATAGTAATAATACTGCACGAAATCATCTTAAAAAATGTTTTAAGTATAGAAGTAAAGCTCTCATCTTACCAGCACAATACACAAACCGCAGATCTGCCTCAGCCCCAATATGGATGGGCATAAAACTGTAAAAATGAAAAAAGTAACAATCATGCACCCCATAACAGCAATAGTTCATGGCTACAGAATCATAGTAGAAGGGGCAAATGTGGATGTAAGAGAATTGGTGAAAATTTGCATGTGCTTAGTTTCTTAATAACTTAAATAGGATGTGTGCTTCAAGAGCATATTTCCCAAGAGCACAGTTGTTTCCATTTAATAGATTGAAATAGTAAGTAGTAACTAATACTGTGATACATATTAAAATAGTAAGTAGTAACTAATACTGTGATACATATAACTTCTGAAAGTGCCTCAGCATTTCACAGGCTGACAACATTCTATAATATAGGAGTCTAAATCACAAATATTAAAAGCACCTAGCACAACAGTTTGCACGCATATTTCAGGCTTCCTTAGAATGCCAAAATCAACACTGTGAAGAGAAGTAGCAAATAAATAGTAAATGAAATAAGCACGTAAGAAATCTCAGGCAGCATAAACAAGAATTCCTTTTTTTTTTTTTGCTTCCATCTTTACAGAAATTTATTGTTATTTGATTCTAAAAAATAATACATCCTCCGTTTTTTTAATACTTGCAACACTTCCCTAAAATGAAAATGTCACAATACTTGCAACACAATATAAATGGAAAGTTTTTTGGGAAAAATTTGTACTATTCCTCTTATTTAAAGCACATGGCCCACTATTATACTCCAAAAAACCTCTCACCCCATTTTAAAGTGTATTACATCATGTGAACCCCACTTTTCTTAAATAGCGTGAAAAAGTGTGTGTTGCAACTGTTAAAGAAAGGAGGAAGTACAACTTAGCACAAGCCTGATTGACAATTCAACATCTTCATTATAAATACAGTCTGAAAGAATAAGAAATCATGTACCCAAAAACAATCATCAGAGACCGCTGCTATAAGCCTACAACTACAGCTTTCGGCTCTTGGTTTAGGACTAAAAAATCTGCAAATGAAAACAGCCTTCTAAGCTACAAACAAAAATTGTACCACCAACACCCATCTCCAACAATTCAGGTCACTGCAAGCTGAAACAAATTTTACTTCCTTAAATATGATAATTTTGCTAAAATAGCATTTTCTCAAATTATGTACAGAAAACAACTGCAATATAACATGAGTGTGGTACAACCATTGAGTACACCAATAAACCTATCCTCCAATAGTCCAATAAGCACAATGATTTATCTCGCAAGTCAAAAAAGAAATCTAGTATCAGTATAATTTTAAGTAGCACATCTAAAGTCCACTGCTCTATGTTAAAACTTGCAACATTAACAACATATCAAATCTACCTTAACATCACTATAGCATCTGTTTTGATGCATTTAAAAGAAATAGAAAAGACAAGTCAGCTAGTGCATAGCATAATATCTCCATCTGAAAATAGAAAGGAAAAGAAAAGAGTAGTCAAAGTGTGCCAGAATAAAATGTGGTTTGCTTGTTTTCATAACCCTAAAGATGGCAGGTCCTATTCAAAACTTCAGAAGTTGGCATCAGAGATAAATGAAGTATACAAAAGACTAGATATATGAAAGGGAAATGAAAGCATGAGAAGAGCATACCTCCCATCAGGTTGTTGAAGGTTTCTCATAGATCTCAGTATGGATCCAGAATCAAACAAAGAAAAATCATAGCCAAGGATCTTCAGTATAGCTAAAGCACTATACGTGCTTGCCAAATGACTACTGTTACAATTTGAATTCTGCAGCAGCAGACAAAGAGTAAGAAATTGCTGTAATTAGCTTCTTATAACCTTTGTGCATAATTCATACTCAACCCAAGTAGTTCCACACTATTAGAATTCAAAACAAACCTTGAGAGCATCTGCTGGAAACTGTGATGACCTTGAACCAAGAAATCCATAAAATTGTCCTACGTCACCAAGATTGTACATCAAATATTTCTGTGTTACAAAATATTAATCCAGGATAATTTAAAAAGTCTACCATAAACCCCCTCCCTTCCCCTCTATCGAAAAAATAAAAAGAAGAAAAAAAAAACAAAAAACAAAACAAAACAAAAGGCCAAACTCACTTACCGCTTCTCAAGTCATCTTGTTCTTCTTTATGAGCCTGAAAAGACAATACCCATGCAACTATTGCTTCCTTGTCAACCTATTAGTCAAACAGCTTAACACTTTAAAACAAGCCATACAACACATGATGAACAGAGGCATGAATCCACCATATGAGATATATGATACGATGTTAAAAATGGTCCAACATATGCAAAATAAAATCTGTACATGTCAATACAGTTATTCTACAACTTTACTGGCTGGTACCATACCAACTGCAAAGCTTATATAAGTACAAGAGCTCTACCCTAACACAAAGCTCTCCACAAAATAATTGGATTAAATACAATTTTTTTTCATGTTCTCTTTCTCTTTCACTTTCTCAAATCTCTCTCCTATTCCCCCTTCCTCAATCTAGCCATCTCTTTCTCAACCACCAAATCAATATAGACACAGCATAAAATGTTTCAAGGATAAACAACAGCGGCTGCTTCTATTATTATCACGAGATAACAGCACCTGGACAACTGCTAATAGAATTAAGTTAAATTCATATCACTAGCAAACACAAAATAAGTCGTGCTTATTTCCTTGAAGAAACTTTAAGTAAAAGAAGAGTACAAGTCAAATGTCAAAACATCATAGGTACAAGTAAAGATAATCAGCAAATACTGAAGATGACATTGTTGTCCATGATGAAATTTTAAGAAATGGCCTAAGGAGCAACATTAAGAAAAACTTGCAAAGAGTAGCGAAATTGGGCTCAGTAGCGAAGTATCAGGCTCCAATATACTGCTATGTCTAAAAGAGTAGATTTAAAAAAAAAAAAAAAAATCAATATCTATGACTGAAATTCTTACTTATAAAAGTTTTCCAATCAATTCCATTTGTTTTCACACGGAACCTGTATGCACTATGTAGAAGCTACCAAAGTAGAAGACTTGAACTTCTATCAAAATCAATCAAATACATATGAGCAATCAGATTAGAATAGTATTAAGACCAGTATTTTAGTGTCATTTTAAGAGGGGTGGATTTGGAAAGTTCCAAACTCTATGAGCTTCCAGAATACAAATTTGGTTAGTTTCGTAATGAGTTCCTTCCTCCAAAATAAAGCATAAGAAAATTGAATGACAATTGAAGAAAAAAATGAAGAAATTTCCACATATAAGGCACCAAGGAGGACAGAAGTGATGGTGAAGTGAAAAGTGAGATGGTTTCTCACAAGAAGCTAGTTTCAATTTCAGATATGTATTTCACATACCCCTTTTGTATGTGACCAAGAAAATGTTGGTTTGTAGAAATGGTTTGACATGAGAGGATGTTTAGAGAGGGAAACAGACATAGGAAATTAAAGGCGCATTCATGTGGAGGCATCAAACTCGCATCTGGCACTGTATGATAGCATTCTGCACTATCTGCAGTGCAGGTAATGGCACACAACTGTGTACCAGTAGCCAAGAAGACTACAAATATTCTGCCAGATACGGCTGTGTGGTATTGGGTACACGGTTGTGTGGTCTCATTTCTCCTCCAAAAATGCATTTAGTTGACTAGGGTTAGGAAACAAATTGTAAACTAATATAAGCAGCCTATTGATCCACTTAAGAACACAATTCTCATATCCGTCAGGATAGAGAACCCTAAGAGGGACAGAGAGTTTTAGTTTATCAGGCTAAATGCAAATTTGGTGGTTTTACTCCTCTCTGGCAAAGAGAAGATTTTCCACGTATAATTCTTCAGAGTACTCTGTTGTTCTTCTTTTAATATTTCCTGTCTATGATTCTGCAAATAATGTTGTTGATTGCACAATTTGTGAGCCCCTCAACCTAACAGAAACATAGCGCACAATGCTAGCACACAGTGAAACACATGATAATTTCCAAAATTTACATCTAATACCGCTAAACTTTTTATTAAGATATGCTTGAGGCAGACTGAGTCAGTAGTCCTCCACGGGGTGCACACTCTTACCCATACTACCAACTAACTGTGCCTCAAGGGCATACCAAGCTTGGATATTTTCAGACCCTCTCCAATGGTGAGACTCAAGTGAGTATTTTTAGGAGAGAGAGAGAGAGTATTTTTTGCAATGTATACCAATAAGTTGGTATCTAAACTTAGCAACTCCAAAAGAAAGTTGTTAAGTTTAGATACTCAACTTTGAGTCTCATTTTACAAAAAGTGTGGGCCCCATGTCATTAATCTAATATATTTTGTAATTTATTAAAGTTTTACCCTTTTTTTTAATTATTTTTTAATCTGACAATATTTGATATTAAAAAAGAAATGGATTTTGTGGGCCATAAATTGAAAGTGACATTTGTATATTTTAGAGAATTTCACCATTGGAAAATTAAACTTCTTATGAGTTGCTAAATTGATAAGTGGTTATGGTATCACCATTGGAGGTAAAAAAATAACTCATTTTGTGTTTCAATACTCAAACTTGAGTCTCTCACCATTAGAGATGGTCTGAGAAGCACATATAAATTATGGTAAAAATTCTTCATTCCTTCCACCCTATATTCCCCCAAAGCTGTACAAGAATAGAAGTCAACCCAAAGATAAACGGAAAATAGAAAGAGAAAAATGAGCAAAGACCAGATGAAGCTCTCTACCACTTTGTCAGTCATTAAATAACACCCAATTAACAGAACTCTGTTAAAATCTTTCCAAAGTTGTAGCAAAAGCTTTGTCTTGTGACAAAAAGTCCCGGAATTATGGCAGTGTAGCAAAACATCCTGACTTAAGTTCGCGACCTTAGCTACTGACATACACATTGTTCTAAATTAAGAAGTTAAGTCACATAAACAAATTCTCTACAATGTTGAAACTTTATGCAAAACCAAATTCTTGCTTATCTCATAATTCGAATATCAACTGTCAACCATATAATCCATGACAATCCAAGCCAAACCAAACCAAACCAAACCAAATTCATCAAATCAGAAATCATCTAAATTTCAGAAATTACTAATGCAAATACTTACATTCAACCATCTAAACTATAACAAGATTCAGAATTCAAAGTGTATATAACACAATAATATAGAGTACTAATCACTTAATCAACAATATCACAAATTCCCTCTCAAAACTACATCATTTGATATTATTAACATAATCAAAACACATCTTTACTTACGAACAATGTATAACGGGTATAATTCAAACTTAAACAAAAATAATAATAATAAAATAAAATAAAACAAAAAATTATGAACAAAAAATCCCCACAAATTCCCAAGCAATCTCAACAATTTTGAACAATGTATAATGGATAAATGAAATACAATATTTTATCAATAAAATTAAGAATAATGACATACTAAAGGCAAGAAATTGGAAGAAGAAAGTACCCGATCTAAAGCACCAAGAATGTCGAGAGAAGAGAGAGTAAAGTAAGCAAGAGTAAGATGGTTGATCTCTTGAGACTCATAATCACTGGGTAGTAATTCGTACATCATGTCTAGGAATCGTACGTGCCTGTCTTTGTCAAACGAAGGATCTATTGAAAAAGGTTCTGTTAACTTTGACGCCATTTTTACACGAGTTGCAGGAGTGAGTGTGTTTTTTTGGTTTGTTTAGAATTTTTGAGTGAGGGGAATGTTTTAAGGTTTTAGTTGTATCACATGTGTCCAAAAAAAAAAAAAAAAAAAAAAAAAGTTATATCATTTAGGGGTTGTTTCGTTGGGGTTAATTATCACAGAGAAAGGGTATCTTTATTGAATTGTTGTTGTTTGTTTGTATGTTTAATCATTTTCTTTCTCCATTTTTATTTTTGAGTTTACCTATTTTTATTTCAAATTGATTCCCCACCCCTAGCCTTTTGCATTCCCTTTCCCTAACCACCACTTCACCACCAACCACCACTCAGTCGCCCATAGACGCTACTCCTTAGCCCACCGACGCCCCTCCCCGGCCTACCGACTCTCCTGATAAACCCTCATCTTCTCCGAAAATATTCCCCCACCACACAACCACCCTCTCTTTCTCACTTTTCCAGCCACCACACCCCCCCACCCCTCGCCGCCCCTCCTCTCCATCCCCCCCCCCAAAAAAAAAAAAAACTCCCCCACCAACGAAAAAACCTTTAAAACCCCTCCACCCCCACGGAAAAACCCTCACCGACCCGAGGGTAGCGAGGGTAGGGGGAGGGTGGTTGACTATTTTTTGTAGGGGTGGAGGGGTTTTTAGGGTTTTTTCGATGGTGGGGGAGGGTTTTTGGGAAAGAAGATAGGTTTTAGAGGGGAGAGGGTGCAATAAGGGGTCGAGGAGGGGCGGCGAGGGGTGGTGGGGTAGCGTGGCTAGAAAAGTGAAAAAAGGGAAGGTGTTGTGGTGGTGGTGGTGTAGTGTTTAGAATAGTGGTTGGATTGTTTTTTTGTCTTTTTTTAAACAATCAACATAGCAAATGGAATGGTTTTTCATTCCATTCTCTTTCATCCCCATTGTTCATTCCATTCCATTTACCCTGTGCGAACCAAACGACCCCTTAGTGTAGTCCACGTTAGTTAATTCTAAGAGAAATTCTAAATTAATCAATTGGCAGCAACATACTTCTTCTATCCCACAATAATTGACATATTAGGCCCCGTTCTTTAGAGCTGCTTTGCTGAAATATGTTTTGCTCTGCTTTAATCTACTCCGCCCTTCTAAAAAATGATACTTAATATTGAATTATTATAATAATAATTTATATTTAATAATAATAATAAATAATTAATATTGAATTTTATAATAATAATTAATATTTAAGAATAATAATAATAAATTAATATTTAATAATAACAATAATAAATAATTAGTATTTAATAATAATAACTAATTAATATTCAATAATTATAATATTAATAATAATAATGTTTAATAACAATAATAATAATAATAATAGTAGTGATGATAATAATATTTTCTCAAAAAAAATAAAGATAATAATAGTAATAATAATACTTATTATTAAGAATAATAATAATAATAATAATAATAATTGATTTTTATAACAAAATTAATATTTAAATATAATACTAATTATTAATTTTTAATAATAATAATAAAAATAATATTTAATAATAAAAATATTAATTAAATAATATTTAATAATTATTATAATAATAATTAATATTTGATAATAATATTTAATGATTATAATAATAATAATGAGATAATATTAATAATAGTAATAGTAGTAGTAGTAGTAATAGTAGTAATAGTAGTAGTAGTAGTAGTAATAATAATAATAATAATAATAATAATAATAATAATAATAATAATAATAATAATAGTAATAATAATAATAATAGTAATAATAATAATAATAATAATAATAATAATAATAATAATAATAATAATAATAATAATAGTAGTAGTAATAGCAGATGTGTTGCTTTATTCCTAGGATAGAGGCCTTGATGTATGTGCTGACTTGACGGGGTCTTCACCTTTAACGCAAATGGGGTTGTCTGACTTTGTTCCTGGTCGTGTTGTGTCGGCGTCGGCTCAGCGGAAGCGGGACAAGTATGGGGCGCGTTGCAGGGCTATTGGCTATGATTTTCTTCCTTTCTCCTTTTCTTCGTTGGGGAAATTAGAGAAGGATGCTATTGCGTTGCTGAAGCGGGTTCAGGCGTTCGATAAGACTTAGGATATTGGTGCTCGTGCAGCTACTCACATCTTCAGGAGGATCGGGTTCGCAATAGCTAGAGGGGTGGGGGCTCAGATTGTATCTCGGATCCCCACCAATTTCTTGTAAATTGATTGACTTTGTAGGGTTTTTGAAATTTTATACTAATAATAATAATAATAATAATAATAATAATAATAATAATAATAATAATAATAATAATAATAATAATAATAGTGTAAAATCTGCTCTGCTCGGCTCGGTTTGGCTCTGCTGAAATCTGCTCTACTTTGCCCAGAAGCTCAAAAGAACAGGGCCTTAGACCTTTTTTCACAATTCATATATTCAAGAAAATTTATATTTTACCATCCACAAGTAGGGATGTGCAAAAAAAAAAAAAAAAAAAAAAAACCATAACCGTTAACCGGTATAATCGACTCATTTTATAGGTAAATAATCTGTATCGTTAAAAGCAGACAGTTACGGTTAATTGAATCGTTAAAAATAAATCATTATAATGTATGTATATATTATATATCATCTTATGGTATGAAAGAAGACATATTAATTCTCTCTCAATCTCTTATGTTTCTCCCTATTTTATAACACGTTATCAGCACCAATCTAGCCAATTGAGAAAGCCGACTATGCACACAAACAAAAGAAAGCAATAGACGTTACGTTTGTTTTGCTAAAATTGTACAATTACAGGTTAGGTTTCTTTTATCTTACATAAATTTTGAATGTAACTTTCTGTTTGATTTTAAATTTTGTCCAATTAAATTAGCTATGTTTGTGTCGAACTGGATGAATTTACGCTTTCATTAAGCTACTGGTTAATCTATATTGAGTAAATTATTTACATGAAACAGTATAATTAATTAAACAAATTAAATAAAATAGAATATTAGTATTCAATTATTGACGAATGTTTTAAGCATCGAGGCATTCTTGCATCAACAATAATCCATTAGATGCTATAAAGTTGAATCATGAATTAATTATTTGCAAGTTAGTAGTAAATGTTTGAAGCAATTCAAGAAAGGTCATGAAGTTCTTTATAATTCTGATAGACTTTATGGATTGTGCTAGCTCGATGTTTCGTCAAGCTAAGATCCCCATTATTTAGCTATTGTGTGTTGTGTCAGTATTAATTTGTATAGCTAATGTTATTAATTTGTCTGAATTGCTTTGATTAAATTCATGTGCTTACATGGCTAATGGTTTGCATAATTGTCCTATATGGGGAAGTATTGATCTAATATTGCGACGCGGCATATTATTGAATTTATTGTCTTTGATCAAATGATTATTATGTATGATTTATGAGATACATTATTATTAATTAGCACCGTTAAAACGGTTTGACAGTTTGGGTTCGGTTCGGATTGAAATCGGTTCGGTATTAAATCGGGTCGGTTTGAAATCGGTTTAAATGTATCACGGGTCGGTTTCAGTTCGGTTTAAATAGTTATAGGTTTAAATAGTTATCGGTTCGATTCGGTTTCGGTTTATTCTTGAGCGGTTTTAATTCGGTTCGGGTTGTAAACGGTTCGGGAAGTAAACGGTTCGGTACGGCCGGGTTGCGGTTTGTTAACTGTTCGGTGTTAACGGTTTTTATACCGGTTCAAACAGTTTCGGGTTGGAAACGGTTTCGAGTTAGAAACGGTTTCGAGTTAGAAACGGTTCGGTTCTTTTTCGGTTCAGTTTTATTTTGGTTCGGTTTGTTAACGGGTTTGCTTTTTATACGATTTAACGTTATTCGGATCAGTTCCATTTCACGTTTACTAAATTATGGTTCAGAATGGTTTTTTATTTCAAAAAGTCGGTTTTTAATCGGGTCGTTTGGATTCGGGTAGTTAAACAATTTTGGTTTGAAATTTCATAGTACTTGCTAACTAACCTTTTGTTGGTTAACAAGTTTTATATCAAGCCGAGACTTCATCACTTCATATTTAGGCATTAGGCATTATATTATATACAAATTCTCATCGATTTTAAAAATACATATCATGTTATTTTCAAGTTTAGTCATATTGATGTTACTAGTTTATCACGAAGTAACTTAGATTATAAAAGTTTAGTGTATTAATGAATTATTATTGTTTTACTATCACATTATTAGCTGCTTCTTATTCATTCATCTAATTGATGTGTCATAATCATGATTTGATGAGTTATTGTGAGATCGAAATTACAGTTTGATTTATAGACAGTTCGGTTTATAAACGGTTCGGTGCAAACGGGTTGCAGTTTGTTAACGGTTCGGTGTAAACGGTTTTTACCTCGGTTCAAACGGTTTTGGGTTGGAAACGATTTCGGGTTAGAAACGGTTCGGTTCTTTTTCGGTTCGGTTTGATTTCAGTTCGGTTTGTTAACGGGTTCGGTTCTTATACGGTTTGACATTATTCGGATCAGTTCGGTTTCGGTTTTACTTAAATACGGTTCGGGTCGGTTTTTGGTTTTACAAAATCGATTTTTAATCGGTTCAGTTCTCATTTGGGTCGGTTAATTTCGGGCAGTTAAACGGTTTCGGTTTGAAATTTGACATCACTATTATTAATATAATGAAACCATGATGTAAATAGGATGATTGCGACTTAAGATTCAAGTACCGTTAAAAACACTAAAAGAATGAGATAGCGATAGCTGTAATAAAGCACGGAGTGCATGATTTACTCATCAGATTGCATATGTATTTGATACACTTATTTTGTTAATTCTTAGCTGTGAGGTCACACTAGTAATATCTACGGGAATTTTACTCCTAATAAGTCTAAGAGCTATAATATATCATTGTGTGCTAAAATTGTATAAATCTTTCTATTTGTTCCGACTTATTATATCAAAGTTTAAAATATATTTGTTTGATTTGATTGATGGATAAAATATACTGATGTTATATATAAAGAGATAATATTGAGATAATATTTTCATATATTCTCGTATATTTGATGAACTATCGTTTTGGTAGGATATCTTTTATTAGGTGTATCTAAACATGGGCACGGGCCGTACCGGCACGCGGGCGGCACGGGCCCGGCACGACTCAGGCACGGCACGATCGCCGGCACGGCGGCTCACCTGTGGGCCGCGCCGTGAACACTTTTTTGGAAATCGGCACGGGCACGGCACGTAGCACGGCGGGCGGCACGGTGGCCGGCACGTGGGCCGGCACGCTGGCACGACCCGCCGGCACGGCACGAGGCACGGCACGGCACGAGCCCGTCAGGCACGGCACGGCACGACACGTATTATTAATTATCATTATTGTACGATTTTTAATTATCATTAATTATTTTGTATTATTAAATTATCGTACATTCGTACTGGCTACCGTCATATAATAAAATAAGTTATTCTTCATTTTTTTGTGTTTTCGGATCATCGCACTCGTATTTTTTTTATTATATGTATTTTTGTTTTTTT